CATGATGCATGTTTGTCCAATTTTTGACAGTAAACAAATTATAAAATAAAAAACAACAAATTAAATAAATTGTGTTTTAAGGGAGATTAGTTGAAAACACCCAAATATAATTATTTTCTTGGCCTTACTTCACATAACATCTCTCTCTCTCTCTCTCTCTCTCTCTCTCTCTCTCTCTCTCTCTCTCTCTCTCTCTCTCTCTCTCTCTCTCTCTCTCTCTCTCTCTCTCTCTCTCTCTCTCTCTCTCTCTCTCTCTCCTCTCTCTCTCTCTCTCTCTCTCTCTCTCTCTCTCTCTCTCTCTCTCCTCTCTCTCTCACACACACACACACACACACACACACACAAAACACCCTCAACAAGACATCAAATATCAAAGTGGACACATGAAAAACCTTAAAGATAAATACAAATCCATTGTTATCATTGAAGTGTTTTTCATTTGCTGTACACGGTCTTATATCAAGGGGGCATGAAAGAGGACTTGTGGGTCTTATGATTAGTGCAGAGCATAAAATAGATGAGATGACCCAATCTAAGTTGCACATAATAAGTATTAAAGTATTACATGATATTAATCCTGCCATTCCATTACTCGCTCAATCACGGCATGCCAACTAATTACTGGAGTCCACACACACACACACACACACACACACACACACACACACACACACACACACACACACACACTTACATCAGGTCGCAGTAATCTTCTTAGTGCACAACCAGACTGCCTCTGTACTGGTCAAGAAACAGACTAAGAGAAAAAGAGAAAGACAGAGAAACTAGAAAGATTAGAATGCATTGCAATGATGGTTCCAGATAAAGCAGCAGGTTATTTATTTTCATTGTTTGCGAATAAATCCTCCAGCATGGTGGAAAAAAACTATTTGTAGATGCAGATTCTCCTTTTCCCTCAGATGTGAACAAATCTTGTTTGAGTGGTGTGACAGCATTCAAATCAAATGTAAAACACACACGCTAGCAGAGATGAATGATCAGGGAAGTATCAGGTGGCGTTCACATAATACAAACTAATACATGTGTGTGTGTGTTAAAACAAATATATGCAAAAATATGCACATAATAAATAATAAAATAAAAATTCACCTTATGTCAAAGTATATATATATATATATATATATATATATATATATATATATATATATATACTGTACTGTATATAATGCGCATACACAAAGGTTATGTTTTCATGTTTTATGGGGACTTTCCAAAGACATAATTATTTTTATACTGTACAAACTGTATATTCTATCCCCTTACACTAACCCTACCCATCACAGAAAACTTTCTGCATTTTTACATTTTCAAATACATCACTTATATGATTTATAAGCTTTATAATACATTTTTCCCACAAGAACAAGGCTTTTGGATATTGCCATCTTTGTGGGGACATTTTGTCCCCATAATGTAGGGTGTACAAGGCTACACATGCACACACACACACACACACACACACACACACACACACACACACACACACACACACACACACACACACACACACACAGTTATTTAGGGTCCGGTACCTCTTATAATCAATGCTGAAAACAGTTGTGCTGCTTAATATTTTTGTGGAAAGCATGATACATTGTTTTCAGGATTCTTTGATGACTAGAAATTTAAATAAACACAATTTTTAGTAGAATTATTTTTGTAATATACAAATGTCTTGACTGTCACGTTTGATAAGTTTATTGAACTTCTTATGCTTCCTATACACTCCCCCCCCCCAAATCCCATAGTACTCAACAACTATTTTTCCAAAAGCAAAAGTCAGTTCCAGACTGACTTTAGCAGTGAACTTTTTACTAGCAAAAGAGTCCATTCACCTCTGACCCTGCTAAAAACACTGTTCTCCTTTGCTAGGGGTCAAAGGTCAGAGTTATGTTGATTAAACCATATTTGTGTGATCTCACTTGCCACGTCTAGCGGTGACGAGTGTGATGGCTCGGAGCGTTTCATTAGCAGTTCAACTTTTGACCCTGTGTTTTGGGTTGAGTAGGTCAGTCCGGACAATAGAGGGTGAGTTTAGGGGTGAGAGTGCAGGAATGTCCGACTGGCTACATCGGCCTTGACAAGGTACGTCAAACAAAACCCTTTCGACTTCACCAATGGTACTTCCTCCTTTACTTCCATATATTGACCTGTCAGTGGTGTAATACTTGCTTCTTATTCATTCTCCTTTTATAAAAAGCGTTTTCTGTTTATTAAAAGCTAATGACCATCTACAACAGCACCTGCAGTAATCAGAGCCTTGCCCTTGAGCCACAAGATTTGCTTGTTGGTATTGTGTCGTCATCTAAAACAGTGGCTAACTGACATTCAAATCCCTCTCTCTTGCCTAACCTGTGTGAACAGTGCATTCACAATGCTATAAATAGAAGTGTGGTAGCATATTACAGAAGTACAGGACTCTAAACAAAACCATACATAGCAAACATGCATAGTAAGTACTTGAAATATTTTTGACCGTGTTAATCTGAAGGTGGCGGTAGTAAGATTAAAATATGAATGGGTCGCCACTCTGACCCAATTTTAATACTTTATCTGACCTAATCCAGAGTGCATTAACTTAATCCCCACAATGAAACCTCAAGGATTCAGTGAAGGCAGATAAATGACTCAAAATCAAACCATCATATAGGAGCTTATGACTGACATTATTGATGATTATAGAGTTAAAATCCTTCATATACGAAGAGACTGTTTATCTATCTATCTATCTATCTATCTATCTATCTATCTATCTATCTATCTATCTATCTATCTATCTATCTATCTATCTATCTATCTATCTATCTATCTATCTATCTATCTATCTATCTATCTATCTATCTATCTATCTATACATATATAATGTGTGTGTGTATAGAGAGATAGATACAGGTATGTGTATATATATATATATATATATATATATATATATATATATATATATATGTATGTGTTTTTGTGTGTGTGTGTGTATATATATATATATATAGTCTCTTCCTATATGAAGGATTTTAACTCTAATCATCAATAATATACACACACAACCTGCTTATTCTTTATTATATACAGTTTCATAAAAATGCATTCTAAAACCATGAACTAAAACTGTGACACTAGGGCAGTAAAACACAAATCGAAGTATGGGTATTATTATATGTAAATAAATAAATAAATAAACAAATAAATAAATCTAAATTTTCTTCATGTGTCTTGGGCACTTGATGGCTAGTTTTTAATCATCCATTTTTTAATTATATTTAATTTGAATTTGTTTTGAGAAATTATACATAGGATTTTTTTTTGTCCACAAAACATAAACTGCGTTTAAACATAAATCTTTAGGCTTTTAAGATCATAAGAAACATTTAAGTCAAGTGTGTCAAAAATTTTAACTGGTATTAGCCTGAATCACTAATTCAGCTGACTGAAATTGACAGACTGAAAAGCTTCAAACCTAGAAATCACAAACTACACAGAACTCAACAGTGAAATGCTTTGAATGATGTGGTCAATTTAAACTACATCTAAAAAATTGGCAAATTAAAGCTTTTTCAGAGCTACTGGAAAAATGATTGACCGGTCCCATTTCAGTGCTATTTTATATATTAATGTGTTACTTTGTGTACCTTTTTCTGTGTACTATTAGGTGCTCTTAAAATACACAGATGTAAATCAGTCTTTCTTTCACTAACTCACCATGTCTTAAAAAAAGAAGAAAAGAATAAACACAGTAACTTAAAAACTAAAATAAATAAACAAATAAACATGCACAAACGCCTTTATCTCGGAATCCACACACACACACACACAGGAAGCTTAGAGGAAGCCGAGATCAGCTCTCTCGCAGCAACGAGACTACTGCAGGAATTCACACCGTGTGTGTGTTTGTGTAGCAAAGCCCTTCCATGTTCCGTGTGTGTATGTAAAGCGGTCTAAGGATAAACCAGGGACCACTAAAAAACATGCGCTCTCAATTTTGGTTCAGTCGCTGTGGGAGGTCACAAAACATAACGACTGCCGTTGCATAGACAGCAATGTTTCAATAAAGTATGTTTCCCCTCATGTCCACACACATCTTATTTAAATGTTGTCTAGTAAATGGAACAGACATGATTACGTTTTTACCTAAGGGACCAAAGGGAACCTCTCACACATACTGTATGGAGATTCACCTGTTAGTTTCATGTGCCCATTGCCATGGGAACTGCTGGAGGGATCAAGTGGAGGATACTGATGACTGATTCACTTATCATGGAGCACGGCTGACTGCTTCTTCACATACTTGACCCTAACCTGGTGTTACTGCGAATCCAACGAAGGATCTAAGTGATGGGATACACCATGTTTTTCCAGAGTGCCAGAGCACTTTAAAACAGACTCCCTGCAAGCACGTTTACATATAGTGACTAGCTATATTCTTTATTCTTTAATTTTGTATAGCCCCTTGAGATGTACCATCTCATTTTCAAGGGGGTCCTTTCAATCACTGATTGTAAATAACAACCTGAGCCACACATGCTCAAAACAAGACAATACACAATAACACAGAAAAACAAGAAAAAAACAAGACATCATTCACAGCATGTTCCCCCCCCAATTTTTCATAGAGCGTGCAGTGATGTGTCATGAATGGATACCTTAAGACAAATCTACATTTGGAATTAAATTACAAATCTAGAGCTTTAAGAGAAGTAACACTTGATGTGTGATAAACAATATCTGCATAATCAATTAGCGGTAGAAGGAGTTGCTGCGCAATTCGCTTTCTTGTATCAATAGGCTTGTTGCATAAACAGAACGTTCGATATTTCCGGGTTGTAACGGTAGGCCGCACGACTTCCGGTTACTCCTGTCAGAGCGAGTCTGACAGCGAGCAGCTGCTTGTCAGAGCGAGAACGCTAACGTTAACTTTAGTTAGTCAACGAGGAAGATGGCATTTTACACACGATGCTTGCAGGACCTGCCAAGGACTACCGTTAACGATGTACATAGGATTATACAATCCTCAACATCAGCCCCAAAGAGCAAGCGGGAGAAGGGGTTTAAAATGTATATTTCCAGCTACATTGACCATTACGAAGGTAAGTTAATTTACTATGCTTTGTTTTAGTCTAGTAGCCTAGCCTATGAGCTATCTTGCTAACCGGTAACGTTAAACATTGAATGAGCCTGATGAATATTATATTGTTTTAATTGTTTTGATCATAACATGATATTATTCTTAACTCAGTGTCAAACAAAGAGCCAGAGACAGGGAGAGTGAGCGTCCGCGCTACCTGCCATAGGTCACTGAGGAAGAATGAGAAACCTCACGACCTCAGAGTAGGATCTAAGATAGTTCAGTTGTTCCAGCCAGTTCTGCTCCAAACATGTCCTGGGGATTTTGTGTTGCTAGGATAGGTTCTGTATCAGTAACATAGGCAGAAAATAGCACTCGGATATCTAACCTAGCCCCCATGAAAACTCCAGGAACTGCTTGTGACGGCTGTTGTTTATTATAAGTTAAGTTTAAGTTAAGTTTGTATGGTAAGTTAAGTTGTAAGTTTGTTGGAGTTTCAGTTATCTGTATGTTCAGTATTCATGTAACGTTTTTGACTTGTAATAGCCTACTAACATCTCACATATGTAATACTAACATATATAACATTTATAAAAACAGAACTAAAAACGACCTTTTTTGGTCATTTGTTAACTAATATGATATGGTTAAGCCTACCATGACTAACAATCTGAAAT